TACTCAAGAGTGCCATTTGCACTGCCTCAACATAATGACAGGAATTGCCAGAGGATTTTGAAGGATAGAGGCAGTAGGCACACCTCCAAGTAACATTTGCAAGAAATTTTGGTGGATTTCGGAGGATTGAGGAGAATCCAATTTTTCAGCCCCGAATTGGAGGAATCTGGAGGATTGAGGAAGGTCCCTAGCAAAATGGGCCTCGGGGGTTAGGGTTTACCTGTCAACACCCTTCATGTTCATGAAAGACATTTTTAAACTGAAACATCAGCCAACATCATGTTTGTTTTAAAGGTGCTTTAAGTTAGGCCTAAACACTCACAAACATCCTTTACAGTGTACATGTACATGTTTAATCTGGGGTAGTACAGTAGCTACATGTAAGAATTTGCGATGTGTGCAGATAACCAAATTTTTGACGTGTCGCATATTGTCGCACACGGTTGTTACATTACATGTATGATGTCTCCGCTCACTTTAGTACTGCGAATTTGGCCCTTTAGAAATTTACAGGACGAATGCTCAACATATCTGAATATGGGTAGCTGTTATAAAAATAATCTATTTACGTATCTTGAAGGCATGTTACAACCACCTAAACGCAGGATTTTACATGGAAAGTTTTGGCCTTTGAAATTGGGACCCTATTTTTGGATTCAATTCTAGTCTGAGTGATGTCTGAACCGACATGAATAATTCAATTTAAACCTCGAATCAAGCTGTTGATTGGTTCCCCTGGAAATTTGAGGGGAAACAATGAAAAACATAAGAATTGCCGCACAAAATAATGTGCAAGACTACAACAGCCAATTGATTCCAACATGGCCTTGGGCAAACAATATTATTTCAAGGACGCAAGGTGTAACTTGATAAGCCTAGTTTAAAATTGCAATGGGTTCGACTGAATAGTTTACTGACTTGCATCCACCTAACTGCCCAAAACCTGCCATACTCCAACAGCAGGTTTTGTGAGGTTTTGGCAGGTTTGGTACCATACCTAAGGAACTTGTTGAATTTTGTGAGACTTGGGATGAAAGGCCAAGGGAGATGGTGTTGGATTCTGTGTGAGTTGGGACATACACGGGTCACCGTGTGCAGTATCTGGCTTGCTGTACCAGTTGTTGGACTGTGCTTGATTTTGTCAGGTTTGGTACTTTCAGCGCAAGTCATCCTATACTGCACAGACCCATCCATACCATATCACTCAAACTCCAACAGGCTCATTCTGTTGGAGTTTATCAGGTTTGGTACAGTACACCTGCACCTGCGTTTGGTACACCTGCATGTACATGTACATAGACAAGTACATAAACCTGTTGGATTTTGTGAGGTTCAGTATGCTTTCTAATGCAGGAGCCTAGGGGGTTAGGGTAAGTACAAGTCATAATGTGCAAGTCCAAGTCAAGTTGCAAGTCAAAAACCAATAGTTACAATTCAAGTCATGAGTCACAAAACTAGCAACTCACGTCCGACTAGAGTTAAAGACAAGTGACTTAAGTCTACAACTCTGGTAATCTTTACAGCTGACTATAGTACAATCCGATCTCACAGAGATATTTGCCAATCATGTACAAAAATGTAGCATTCCTACTGTGTCCGATGGACTGGAAGCTTTGTCTCTTAATTTAGGCAACTCCCTACTCAACTCTGCGGCCCACAGTTAGTGGCTTCTGCCACTTAGAAACAACAATTTACGGATCACTGATAAATTAACTTCAATCAGATGTAGGACCAACTGCTACAAATGCAGCTCTACACGTATTCCTTATATTACATCAATTTTCAATTAATGTTAGCTCGGTTTCATTATGTCTGTTTTATGTTGTTGTTTCAATATCACTTCTTAGTGTTGTTAGATTAGAGTGGTCACCAATACGTTGTTTTATTCATTTGTACATGTATGTCTTCTGATATGTCTATTAGTTGTTTCAGACAGCTGTTTCTTAAATTTTTAAGAAAAACAAAGCTGTTTCAGACACCGAAATACATGTAACTTGAAAATTGACAGATACAACGACTTCAATGCCTCCAACGTTTGTGCAAAATAAGTACAGGTACATGTAGGCTTATGACGTCGTCAGACTGGAAGTTAAAACGAAAAGACCGTTAATTCATTAAAATTCACTAAAACATCAATCCTGACAGCTACATGTACAGTCTGAAGTTTCCCATGAAAAACTAGAGTAAATATCTGCATCCACTGTGAAAGGTGTTGGGCTCCTTTCATTGTTTATAAACGCGGTGCGCCACTAACGCAAAAATAGGCATCCGCTAGTAACGCTGGCAACACGACCTGTAGGGTAAGAACCGTAGCCAATTGTCTGTGCGTGGAATGCGTATAAATTGTGCCACAGTGTTTTGGGGAATCTGGCAAGTTTCCAACCACTCACATTGGGCCCTGCATGTACTGTGTGTGTTAAATTTTGAACTGTGGACTTCATGACGGCTGTTCGATTCCCGCCCTTTCCAACTGAATTTTTTTTTTAATCTAACCAAAAGATTTCCCGAAACAGCTCAGTGGTAGACAAACACAACACTTGTCTCGTTTTCTGCTTGATGTAGTTCATAGCGAATGATTACATTTTTATGCATATTTTTAATATCTTAACTTTAATTCCATGTATTTTTCCTGTCTTCGTGAAATTGTAAAATGACTGTAATTCAGCCTTTTGCTGCAAAAGTCTTTTTAAATAAACCATTAATAACATTAATAATAATACACTAATTACTGAGACCAAGAAAAAGTAAACAAAAAGTGTGTGAAAAGTGTAAATTATTATGAAATTGTACTGCACTGAATACACGTACAAATCTTGATCCAGATGTGCATTGCCAGCTTTTTGTTTTACTCTGACCTCATGCCAAACTGATGTGCACAACCCTTTCATGAGATGACATCTCCTTCCTGCACATGTGATGGATAATTGCAATTTACACAAACACAAAAGGCAGATCTAAAAACAGACCTCTGGAAACAAAGATGCAAACGTCCACAACTGGCAAATCATTGATCTTCCACACTGTGTTTGTCAGTGTCAAAGCGTCACTCATCAATGAGACCATGGAAAAAAAAATCTATATTGATTTTTTGCAAAAGGCAAACAAACTTTGTATGATGCATAATTGACTGGCCTTTCATTGTCATTTTTTTAAAGTCTAATAATACATGCACATGTACTAGTACTAGTACATGTACATGCACAATTGTACATGTCTTGGACTGTCTGGTGTGCAATATCAGTCACTCAAGGACTTTGTACTGATTACATGTACCAGTACATATACTGGTACATCCCCTTATTCTGAAGAGGAAATAAATCCTAAGACTTTAGACAAACTTTCTTTCCATTTGAGGGTCATCCTTAAAGAGATCAATGAACAAATATTGTGAACAGCTTGTCAAATCATGATTCGATTGAATGGACCAGACAGGTTTTGCCGAGTATGATTTAATCACCGATTTAAATCATATGTTCCTTTTTAAAAATCACTGATATGAAAAGTCCTGTTTCCATTGGACTTTTTCTTCCCAGGCACGCTGAAACTTACTGCCACATTCGTTTGTGTCAATCTACGGGGTATGCCCACGTGGACTTTTTTTTTCCGAAACGGAAGGTTTATTCGCTGTGTTAGGCCTAAAAAGACCAGCTGATTATATTGCCTATGTGCTGTACAAATCAAGACAAAATCGGCAAAATCTGACCAAGAAATAACAAATGATGACAAATTTGACCAAATATGTCACAAATAAGACAAACCTGTACAGGAAAAGCCCTGTACAAAATGAATGTAAAGCTATATCCGGGGCACGCTTCACTGTGCGTGCGCGGCATGCTGCTGTACTGTATGCATGGAGCTGCAGACTGGGAACCAGACAACCATTTTTGCATGTCTGCGTGTTTTCGCTGTGTAGGCAGTAGTCTGGTTCGTAGGTTTAGCCTGGTCACGGTCAATCTCCATGTACATCTACATGTACATTGTATGGGAACTGTTCCCATTGGACTTTTTGTACCCCTGCTAACTTACCATGGCTGTACAGAAATCTTTTCAGCCTGTTAGTTTCTGTGTGTTCCCATTGGATTTATTTTCGTTATTCTACAGGAAAGTCGCTGGAAGTTAACTAAATAAAGTCCATTGGGAACACGGCCAACCCTTTCAACAGAAAAAAATTATTTGGTAGCCATTGGTTTCCAATGGGGAACACGGCCAACCCTTTCAACAGAAAAAAATTATTTGGTAGCCATTGGTTTCCAATGGGGAAAAATATAGATGCCAGCGCTTTTTTTAAAGTTTAGTAATCACGTGCACTGAATATTCATGAACGTACAAATACACATGTAGTATAAATACCCTGTGTTTATATCGTCCATCCACGCTGTAGAATCATGACCTGGCGCGGCCTGGCACGCATACATCTACACCACGCAACTTGCATCTATGTACATGAGGGTTGATGAGGTCAATCCACGAAATCAGGGTTCTTGCCAAGAGGTTCAGCCATGGACATTATGACGTCTGTAGTTTCAGTTTGTCGCGGGACACCCTGCTGCATGAATCGCGCTCTTCCCAACACTCACAGCGACACCCTCTAATTCTGGCATGAGGTCTGTTTCAGGCTTCATTTACGTTGTTGCAAAAAAAGCAGCAAAAAATCAAGCCATGTGGTTTAAGCTACATACAGTATATCTTAAGTTGCCAATAGCAACTCTGTGGTGAAAATATGATCGCATCAGCAAAAATTTGTTCGCATTTGTGACTGATTTAGGCATTATTTAAAGTGTTGAACCCCTAATACATTTGTACATGGAATGCTGTACTGGCATTTTAATCACAAAGCAACAACACATACAGAATACAACATAGTTCAACATTAAGTCCATTTGTGAAATACTCTGTCCCGTAAAGCAACAGCCTGAAGACATGAAACTTTTGTTTAATAATTTTAAAATTTTAAACAGTCCTTCACACTTTAAACAGGGCAACACACATGGAGTCCTCACCTTCGCAAATATATCCCTGTCCAAACAGTCCCCACAGCATGTCCGTGCAATGGTGGCAGAAGGTTGGTCGGTGAAAATTCTTTTTGTACAACGAGTGGCCACAGTGCTTGGACTTGTTGCGGGAATTCTTCCCCGGATTCAAGTCCACTTGGTGTCCAAACAGCCCTGCCGCGGTGGTCGCCATGTCGGCAGCCGGCACCGGCTGCCAGTGCTGTTTCTCCGCAATGGTGGTGATTGAATGGCTGGTCTCAGTGGGGCTGTGGTGTCGGGGTGTTGCCTGTCTGTACTCCACTCCGTTGGACTCCTGGTGCTGGTGCGATTTACAGTATAAAAAGACAGCGCACAGGTGATCATTCATTGAGATCTAGAGTACAAATTGAAGGAGAAAGAAAGATTTGAAAATGTTGAATCATGCTGTTTAGAGCATGGGCCTACATATGAAACACTTAAAAATCATCACGCTCACAGGCCTACATGTACACGTAAAAGATTTTCAGCACAGAGCGTCAAGTGATGTCCAAATATGGAACTCTTTCCAAGATTTTAAGCCATCTCTGAAATCCTTAGACATGCAGCAAAACGGCCAAAAACCGAGGAACTCCTGAGATTTCACCATCTGTGAAGAAGTATTTAGTAGCCCACTGTATGTACATCATATCATAGAGGTAATTATTGCAAGGCCTGGGAGTGGATGATTTACATGTAAGTCGAACCTCTATACAGTCAACTAATCATATAATTAAATACCGAGTGACACGTCGTCTGCATACACAGTCTTGACACTTGACAGCAGGCCTAGGCCTATGCATGACATTGCCAGTCAGTCAGCATGGTCAGTGGCAAAAGCCAGAATGGACTGCCTACGTCGGCCTACAAACAACGAACACCTTAGGTTGTCGATGTCTGTGAGTTTTTGACAGTCAGCAGCAACAAACACGGCTACGTCAAAGTTTACTTTCCGAATAAAAAGCTGTAGGCCTGAGCACACTGCACCACTCTGGCTGTGGTGGGAGCGGCACCTAGCAGTCTGCTAGTACCTGCACATGCTGCCGTGGGCACAAATGCAACATGTCAAGTGATGTCTGCTGTGTATTTGAGGAATAGACCACGGGCAAATTAGCGCGAAGTACTGACGAACATGAGATTTTACCTTTATATCCCTGGCAGCAAGTAGTTTGGCACCTTGTAATCAATTGTAGTGGCTTACAGTTCCTAGAAATTCATCTGCCCATTTTCCTGGGAATCGAAAAATTAGGCTTACATGTACCTCTGATTTTCCCAGCGACGCGACGTTAGCCTCATTCTCAAGTCATCGTTGTATCTAGCGTTCGCGCGCGTTGCATGTGTGCTGGGTTACCCCAGCTTGCGTGGTTTACAGTATAGGCCCTATGTGTACATATGCGGAGAGCAACACCAGCAGATGAGACTTTATAATGAATAGTGGGGGAACACACAATATGTATCGGGCTCTGGAATAAGTTTAAAATTGTCCAAATAACTTCAGTTGACAAAAAATTAAGAAGATGGATCTATTTCGATTAATTATAAAGTTATATTGATATGAAAAACAGTGAGCATTAGATAATTTATTGACAAAGTTACTGACTGCAGATTAAAATCATTGTATGATAGGAGTGCCGCCCCTAATCCTCTTTAATTTCAATGTCTGGTGCCTATACTTGCATAGTTGTACAGCGTGGGGAAACTGAGACTAATATTTTTTACCATACTTGATAAAGTTTCAACTGGGGGCAGCATTCCTAAATTACGGACTTCGACTCCGACGGGCTTTACTATCTCTACGGTTCTCACCATCGGCCCTCTCATTGTCTGGTCACAAAAAAAACCGACTGTTCCTGTTATTATTCTTATCAAAGTACTTACTTCAAAGTCAAGTTCCATCAATTGGTGGAAGAGACAAAAACGAGGAATATGGATTCAAACAACAGTGCTGTAGAATCAGCCCCACGCGTACATGTAGGGCTGTGGATGGCTCTTTTGTGAAATCTGTCTCTTTTCTGTCGCCCCTACGTGTGGGGCTACTGTAGAATCCCATATTAAACGCGGCACACTTTAACTTTCACTTGAAGGCTTCAGAGGATACAGTGTTTCCAAACCTCTTGTTGAAAATACTTTTAATTTCATTTGGTTAAATACTGGTACTAGAACCACAGTGAACAGTTTCGGTTGCGCACTTCAAAAAATCTCAGAAAATCACACGTAAACATTTAAAACGTTCTTTAAAGCTGAATAGATTATTATTGCCCTACTTACATAGCTAAATACAAATCTGTTAGAAAATATGTCACATTTTTGGATGAATTTAAGAGTCATTTTTGCACTTAAGAAACATCGGAAAGTCGAGCCAAAGTAAATTTTCATCGTAACTTGCAGCAGATGAGTAAAATCGAAATTCTGAATGTTGAGAGCTTGATGAAGTTGCACTTATAATGACATTTGTGGTAAAAATATTGCTCTGGCAAGGTACTAGAAGCAAAAAGTCAAAATGCATCACAGGGGACATCAACGATACTAATTTTCGAGTTGGCCTAGGGTTAAGTGGTCTGAGTGTCACCCGTTCTATACCGTGCAAGTTTCATAGTGAGCACATCTATCACATAGACTAAGGGCTCAAGATGGACTGGCCTACCTTTTAATGACAAGTATGTATTCATGGCAAAAAGAAAATTATCTTCGTGGAGCAAGCGAAACAACGACTTCGATGTTTGCCTTAGGTTAAAACAGGGTTATTAGAAAAAGCAAAAGATAATTGCCGAAACCCGGGACAATTCAGAACTCATGCAAGTTCTCCGGGGATTTGAACCAGGGACCTTTAGATCTTCAGTCTAACGCTCTCCCAACTGAGCTATTTCGGCACTTGACAATCATTGATGTATATTAAAAATATAATTTTAAAAGTGTAATAAAAATGGTTTCAACTTTAAGGTATCAGTTTTAATACAATTTTGTAGCATTTAATAATGGAATTTGGATGTACATGCGTTATGTATTTTAAAATGTCTTTTCGATCCCTTGATTGAGGGTTGAATCAAATTCACCCGAGCATGCTGATGACGTACTACTGACACTGTCAAAGGTCATTTAAAGCCCATCGAAAAACACAACAAGCACGTGTAAATACATGTACATGTACAGTGTATGTACACGTTGGTGCCCTATGCATGCACACTCACTGTGAGGTTGTCGTTCGAGCAAAATTAACGATTAACGGGCGACGTTTTCACATAATTATTTTTCGAAATCCACAATGGATAGGTTCCTGGCAGTTTTGCTTCTTCTGGCTGCAGTAATTGGTGGATTCGTCGATGCAAAGAAGAAAGGAATGCTGGAAGTTGTAACTTTGGTAAAGTACAGTCAATTCAATTTCAGTTTTAACGGCAATGGTATGCACCAGCCCGTCATGACTGGCCCCCAGTCTGGGGCTAGCACCAGCCCAGGTTGGACGTCATGCAGTCTTCATTACAGTCCACCTGGGCTAGGTACATACCTAGGTGTTTATGTGTTTTGTTTATTCTTGTCTGCCTAATACATGTACGTGCAACCCATGGTTTATACCAGGAGTTCCATATGCGGATACCACTTGATACCCCGTGCTTAAATCCTTTCAGCTGCCTTTGAGATAGTCCTAGTAGCTTGGACCTTACAAATCGCTTTTTTAAAACATGACATGGTTGGGTCGGTAGTGGTGATCACATCAAAACTCATGCGGCGCTCAGGGTATTAACATACAGTTTAAAAATTAAATCGCTATTTGAATATGATCTGAACAAGATGGTGACATTGAGCTCGACGACAAGACTGTTTCCAATTTGAAGGGGAAATTTCTCTTTTCTTCCCAAATGTGAGTAAACCTTACCTGTATCGTCATTAGTGGAATCTCTGATTTTCACTCAGTCTATAACTTGGTGCATTACACAGTTTAAGGATCATTTTGGGAGGTGAATTCAGAGGATTTTGATTCGGGGTAGGAGCTACATGTACATGTATTTTGAGTGAAATCAATGGAAGCAAAAGCCTATGAAAGGTACATGTACATGTACTTTTACCCTCCTACATGTACTGCCCAACCATATGAAAAGGTTAAAAAAGGCAATTTGTAGCGTCCAGGTTACTCGGACTACCTTTGAGACTGGTCTGAAAAATTCTAAGTGTTTTTTAAGTAAATGACTTGGTATTTTCCATCCTAAATTGACCTTTTCTTGATATGCGTGTTTCTGCTTTCTGATGGCTAATAGTTCACTATAGGGAATAATCTCTGGTTTCTGTATATGGAACTCTTTCCCGCTGACCCCATGCCCACTGACGTAGTCAGATTCCACTGCCAACTACACACGTACTCTGTCGTAAAAATCTCTCTCAGTAGGCCTTTTTGACTCTACATTTATTTCTTTTCACACCCTAAAGGACTGCTTAAGTACAAATATCCGCTTATCTCATGCACAGTCTTAAAATGGAGCTAACTCTTTTACTTAATTTGGTAAGCCCCTAGTGTTGACACTTTTAAATCCGGCTTGTTAACCTTGGACATTAACTGAAGGACCTCTTGAACTGCACTCACCCACTTGACTAAGTTTCTGCCTGCTGCCAACAATATGCCTTTGCATTTATAACTCTTTTGAGGTGCGGATCCACGGGGAAGGTGGGCTCAAAAAATTCCTAGATCCACCCCTGCAAATGCGTAAATGTCAAATCTAACAATTGGTGTTTTCATTTCACAGCATGTAATATTTGTAATATTATAGTTTGTTGTACGGTGTAACATTCAAATAAATATTTCTGCTGTTTGCTTATGTTTTTATGTTTTAATAGTGTTTTGTTTGAGAATACACTTGCAACATCTGTTTGGCATCATGATGAACATTTTGGCTTCGAAGCTTGGATGAAATGCTATTGTTTAATAAATTTGCAAGATTTACCGTTCCTAGTTCAGCGTACATTATCTAGAAAGTAATAGATTGGAGTCTTAGGTGTGGTAAACTTTACAGCTGTTGTTCTGTGCTGATTACATGTTTGTCTTACATGCAGCATGGTGCACTGTGTTGTGATAACAGTATCAATGATGTGATAAAGGTCATAGCAAAAGCTGTTTTGTGTATGCATATGACTTAGAAATTACATGTGGGACATAAACCAGAGCTGTGTATAGAAGGAGTAGCGCCAACTTAAGACTTGGGAACCAAATTGGCTGTTGTGTGTGTGTGCAGCACAGCATGCAGCTATTGTGTGCTAATTGTCCACATACCCGACGCATAATCCACCATTTTGGTTCCAACAATTGAGAAACTCACATCGCAGCTCTCTCTGCAACCAGCACACAGCATGCAACTATTGTGTGCTAATTGTCCATGTACTCAGAAGCATAATCCACCATTTTGGTTCCAACAATTGAGACACTCATGTCGCAGCTCTCTCTGCAACCAGCTCTCACATGTGCCGGCAAATTCCAATCAAAACATTTCTTCTTACTGTACTTACCGGTACTAAGACAGAATTTAGCAAAGTTGTGGAATGGTTAGAGAGACCTTTTTGCAAAATTGTTAATGTTTCAATTCTTGAAATATCTTTTTTGTTAGCACATACCAGAAGATTGTTCAGACAAGGCTGAAGTTGGTGATGAGGTGGCAGTGCATTACGTAGTGAGTATCAGCCATACCAGTACACAGTCCCAAAGATGTGTCAAACTTGCAAAATAGACTTGGCTACATGTATTTTGTTACAGAGGCATGTTGCTAAGCTGATATGTAAGAAGCCATTTAATTTGGCAAAGCGTGCCAGTGGAGCCCATACAGCTATATATACTAACTAGAGCGCTAACTTCTCATTCTCCGTGCGGACAGAATTTGACACCGTCCTGGGCGGAGACATTTTGAATCCATGTGCGTGCTTGGAGAACATTCACAACGGATAGACTGAATATTGAGTTGTGTATTCTAAATGCAACGTGCACATACAACACATGCCAATGTCAGCGCGTCTTTTGAATAGAGGCACACATACAGAGCAATGGCACATGTTTATTTACATCCATAGCTTATTATTTTAGAATGAATTTTTCCCTAAGATTGGAGCAAGGTTGTCCAATTTCGTACATGTATGCATGTCTTTCACTTGCTGGTTTTTGATGAATACGTTCAGTGAAATTAAAAGTTGTTCCCTTAGTTCACTCAGTGTTAGGTGAGTTCGTAGCTCTGGAGCAGTCATGCGCATCAATTGAGTACCAATAAAATCTAATTTAAAAAACGTCACGGCAAAATTCTCGTGCAGTGTATACAGCCATAAATTGTGTTTTGTTAGCACAGAGCAAAAAGAAATGCTCATTTACTTTATGTGCATTGAGATTGTTTGTGTATTGGATTTGTTGACATATTGTTTTAGAATATATAGTAATGATTTAGATTGATAAATGCATGCAAATAGCCATACAAAATCCGCACAAAATGTTGAGTTTTCCATAAGTTTATGCACAAAGATGGATGCGTCCAGCAGGCATCACTTTGTACATGAGTCAGTGCTTTAGCTTTTATTTATAGTCTCTACGGTGGAGCCACACTTCTTAAACCACACCATAGAAAGGGCCCAACAGCATACTGCACCACAGTATGTTTGGTTTGGTCAGGTGCATATATTGTATATGTACATGTATTTCATAAAACCTGTTGATGCGGACAATACTTGCCAGTAGAGCCCCCTTTCCAACTCATTCTGATTGTTTTGTGCAAACTTTTTTTGGTTTAGTACATGCAAGCTTGCTTCCACACAAGAACCCATTCAAGGTGGCCAGTGTGGCCTCTTTTCCAGCACAACCATGCAAAGTTGGTTCTTTGCTGGTTTGGTTCTTTCAAGACCCATCCACAAATCATTGCATTTCTTTATCTGCCCACACTTCAGGGTGTGCTAGCTTTGTCCATGCTACTCTCTACAGGGAAAGCTGGAATCAGGAGCGGTGTTTGATATGTCCAAGCTTCCAGACAACTCCAGGGATCCAATCAGATTCCAGCTTGGCAAAAACAAAGTCATCAAAGGATGGGAGGAGGGCATCAAAGGCATGTGTGTTGGGTAGGTCAGTGCACTATTAACCAACAGTGCTAGTAGACGTCAGTAAAAAGACACCAATGTCAAATAATACCACATCAGTGGATATCTGTGAAGATGTTACAAGTTAGTACACATTTAAATGAAAGTGGGTTGACCTTACTACATGTACATGTACATGCACATAAAGTGAACACAAATATCCTCTTTTTTTTAGGTACTACCAACTACATGTACAATGTACAGTGGAACGCTGCTATAACAAACACGACGGGGTCCACGCTAAATGTTCTGTACAGCAGTCGTTCGGTATAGTGAAATTAACTGCCAAACATTTCGTTGCCATGTTGAATAGCACCCTCTCTTGTCTAAGTGAAGTGCACCCTCTTGTGATACTATGATTCACTGTTTTCATGATGTTTTGCAGTTGCACCCACGTTTGAGGTTTCTAGAAATGTATCGTAATTATTTTTGTTTTTTATTAAATCTTCAGATACAAAATTGATATTAAGTTCATCCTAAAAGTTGTGGAGCTACTGCTCAGGATCGATCTCTGATGCATGCTGTGGTAAATCTTGGTTGATTTGCAACTGCATAATTTTCGGTAGGTTTTGTGCACAAAATACTGGGAGCCAAGGACAATGTTCGCCGAATGTTCGGTATAGCGGTGTTCGGTATAGCGACGTTCCACCGTACATTAGCTTGTCTACTATAGGAGGGAGTATTCCCAATCAATTTTGCATATAAGTATTTGGATTTTTGTTGTTTGCAGAGAGCATCGCAAGCTTGTCATTCCTCCTCATTTAGGCTATGGGAAGCAGGCACAGGGAAATATTCCACGTAAGTAGGGAATAACGTCAACATTTTATTAGCTTTCCTCAGCAGTTGCCTCATGTATGTCGACTCCGGTAGAAGTCCTCATCAATGAGATGACTTTTAAAAGCTGCATTGCTTGTTTCATCTTCTAACTGGTAAGACTGACAAAAGGAGACACTGCCAGCATAGGGCTGGATAGCTCAGTTGGTAGAGCGTTTTTGTTGTTGATGATTAGGATAGATCTCAAGAAACAAGTGCCACTCAAAGGGGTTGTAAGTTTTACCTTTGGGCAAAATGTGCAAGAATACAGGTCTGAATTGATCTTGGAGGACACAAGGTGCGTGTGGCATACTGACAATGATTGCTGCCTGTCACTGGACTTATGCAGGTTGCAGGTTCAAAGTCCATACCATTCAATTTTTCCTTGGTTTTTTTGGTTGTCTGTGCAGCTGACTCCACGCTCATCTTCACTGTGGAATTGATGGAGCTGAAGAAGCCATCTTTCTTGGACTCACTGTCTGCGACCAGCCCATTCATTGTCGGTCCTGGGATTGTGGTGATAATCGGCTTGTATCTCTGGCGCAAGGCATCTACCGACTCGACCCAAAAGACCAAGGTCAAGCGCGAGCAGAAACAGAAGAAGAAGAAATAAAAGTACATCTCCGAAATCACTCATGCAGAAGCAGGGTTGAAAAAAAAGCCAGAGATGGATTCAAGGTCTTGGGGGAAGCACCAGGACTTTATTGTACTACCAAACAGTGGAGTAAAGCCACTTTCATATTTCATTCAAATTCAAATCCATGAATTACATTTTGGTACTGTACATCATCAGCTGTAATTGATGATTTGCAAACCTTGAACACCTTTGAACTTTTGCAGTTACCTCTTGATGTCACACTTCCATCTTTCAAACGTTTTCCAATACCTCTTGGTGTCAGATTTCAGTCTTAGGTCTGTTTAATTATTTTATGTATTGCAAAGTCTAATGGGCTTATGTGAACACCTTAAACACTGGATTTGAAGCAGATTGATCAGTTTGTTTCTGCATGGTTGCTTATCCAGATGTTAGAGGCATTCTTTTACACGTGCCCAGATCTGCCCCCAAATTGAGGAGGATATTAGTTTTTGCTTCTCCAGTCATGTTGGTTTGTTTTATTTTACCTCTCCAAGCTCCCTAAAGAACTTTTGTTTTTATTTAGATTTTGTGTCATTTTTTGCTTATATGTATCAGGTGGCAGAGAGTGAACATTTTGAGGAGTTGCAGAAAGGGTTTTCATCATTTCTGTCCTTTCTTTTGTTCCCAATGAGTGGTTTCATTAGCTGTCACTGAAAGAGGATGTTTGTCTCTGGATATTTCATTCACTGCAGCGTGTAACTGTGTAAGGAAAAAAAAATGAAGCTTGCAGTTCCTGAACCGCTCATCAGAACATAAGCTAGAGTTCGATACAAGATATTAATGAAGTAGCTGCCCAGCAGACTTGGGTGGTACTTCTGGGTTGCACGTTGATCCTAAACATAAGCTGAGTACACCTCTTGGACTTTGGTAGCTGAAAACATTCCAAAATGCAAGAGCTTTATGATTTAAGAACGTGTGTAATCCCACGTGAGTGTTGCACTGCTTCTCAGTTTAGTCGGTTGTTTGGGCTGGATCTTTTTACTTCCTTCTTTTCTTTCTTTCTCTTTTTTTTTTACTTCTGGTTTCTTCCATGTTCTCACTTTTCTCCTGGGCTCTGAAGTTTCACAAATTGTAGACTAATGCAGCTGGCTTATCAGGTACTACTTTGTTGCTGATTGGCTGAGAGATTTTAGACTCTACTATTTATCAAGGTGTTAGGTAGATGATGGGTATTTTCAGAATTCCGGTAGTTTTATAGTAATGGCTACTCAAGTTTTCACTTCAGGTTTTCAGTCTTTGGAATGATAATGAAATTTGTATCAAATAATTTAATGTTTCCTAAATTGCTCCAAAATAGTCAAAATAATTATAGTGGTAATTTTTTGTTAATGGTTGTAAATATTTGAAAGAGCAATAAAGTTTTTAGAATATCGAAAAAGAGGAAGCCTTGAAGTGGCAACTTATTGGCACAGTATTGTACGGGTCTGAATAAATTTTCCGACCAGCAGAGGGCGCTTTGACTATTGTGAGAGCTGCTACCATGATCTCTGTGACGAGTCGCCGGAGGAAGAAACGCTGTCAACCGCGATCTATGAGCTGCGTGTTCTGGTGGTGTTTGCAGATTCTTTTCCGGTGTTGGCCCACTCCATATCCATTGTTTTTTAAAATAAGCAAGTGAGCAGTACCTGGTTCGAAGTGTTTAGGGGAAAATCAGCTATTGAATTTTAGGCATGTTTCCCGAAGGACACATTATTGAAGACCCGGGCCACAATTTATGAATGTACTTAAGACTTCAAGACCATGCGACAGTTTCTCCCAACTTGTGAGCACAGTTTTTTCATTACACTACATCACACTTCTGATAATTATTTTGTAACTTTAAAGAGCACCTCTAAGGAAAGCACGTTTTCTCTCATTTTGTCTGTTCAAATAAACTTGGAAGCATCCAAATCGAATGCAGTATCATTATCTTTAGAGCTCAACCATGACAAGCTTAAAAGGACTTTTTTCTGTTCATGCCAATATGCGAATTCTGCATGCAGATTGCGTCATTCTGAGAAAACACAGCCCTGTGTTCGTAGTGGATAAACCCTTATGGATGCCAAACAGTGGCTATATACATCGTTGGCATGCACCAGGTTTTATCCGCTATGCGAACACAGGGCGAGGGGTCCCCTCGTTAGGCTGTTTTCTCTGAATGACACAATCTACATTCAGAATTTGCATCTTGGCATGAACAGAAAAAGTCCCTTTAAGCTTGCTATGGTTGAGCTCTCAAGACAAATGACCCTGCCTTCGATTTGGATGCTTTCGCACGTGTTTAAACAGATAAAATCGGAGAAAACATGTTTTCCTGAGATGTGCTCTTTAAGCAGATGAACACACTGGCTAGCTGCCTTTCCTTGAAGATAAGAGTTATCAGTGATGTTGGCGATTGGGTTAACTGGTAGTACCCTAATGCCAATTGAACTGGGCTCACTTGGTGTGTGAATAAAACTCTCCGTTGGTTGCATAAGAATGTCGCTTACCAGTGCACTGCCAGAATCACGGCAACTACATGTACATTATTTTTTCGACGTCCGATCGGCATTCGCCCCAATTTTGGGTATATTAAACATGAAAACTATATATACGCTCGCTCTAAAGGAAGAGTACACAAGCAGAAAGTCTTTCATTGTTCAAAATAGAGAGACTTTGGGAGAAAAGGTTCTAAGAATTTGACAGGTGAACATTGTGACCACAATCCGCTCGGGGACCGTTGACCTGAGCGTTTCCTTACATTTTATTGTTATGAGAAAAATATTTTGGGTGTATTTCTTACCGTTAGAACAAAGTGTTGAATTTCGAGTAGTGTGACCAACAGCGAAAGATATAATTATCAAGCTGTGAACTTGTTCTTGATAAAAAGGAACTTTGGAATGACCCCCTCAGTTGACTTTTTGAGGTATTTTGCGTTTAAAGACCTCTGGAAAAAAATTGTTTTCAGTTGACTGAATAAGCAGAATCTGTCAATTTTAACTTCCTCTTAGGACATTTTTTTCTTTCCTTTTGAATCCCTTCCAAGCACCATGAATTGAGTTTCCAGTCCAAAGTGTCCCACGAAAAGGCATTTTAGAATAGCAATGTCTGTATTATTCAATATCCTAAACCAATGGAAAGTGTTCTATAACGGCTCAGAATTAAGTATCAGCACGGGGCATATCGTACGAAGTTATTCAAACATTAAACCACGACACAGATACAATTTGCCGAGACAGCATTACTAGTGCGCCCCCAGTTCCAACAATGTACTGCTCTGCCTTACTGAAAACACCTCCTGGTATCCATTCTCTTTGATATTAATGTTTATGGCCAGTTAAAATGAGCTATTCATTCCAAACCGGTATTTTACAATCACCATGATGTAAAATAATGCTCTTGCCGTGTGAAATCAACTTATAAATAGTAAACATTCACAACTTTAAAAAAAAATATGTGGCCTACTGTCTTTAGATTGATTTAAGAGTTGACGTGTACAGTAACAAATTATGTGCTGTGATTTTTTTTTATTTATGGGTCGATGCCTCCTAGTTTTGGATTTGTAACCTCAAATGGCCCTTAGGCTTTGAAGATATTACATCACAGACTTTCCCACACAACCAGTTTATAAGGGCCATCCCAAACTGAAAGAAATGTAAATGAATGAATAACTTCAACTGACACCCGTGATTCTCCATGTCCCTGTGTTATTTGCGTTGTTGAATGCTGTTGTTCCATCAATGCATTTGAACAGAGCAGGCCACGCGCGGCTGGGGGGGGCAGTGCTTTTACCTAATGATGACAATTGAAAAACACAAGCCTATTTCTGGCAGATAGTAATCTTAGCCTCGCTCAGAAATGAACGTAACATAAATAAACACACCATAATTAGCATATAGACCTGCAAGGAGATTGGTCAGGCATTTTTAGGTCAAATAAGGTAATGTACTTCAACTGCGGCGTTTCAGTCTTTTATTATGACACACAAAAGTTGAACAGAAAGGAGCTTCATACCCTCAAGCGACCACAGTTTGCACAAGTAGCGTTGTTCATGGCAGTAATAAACTTTCTGGCTTCTCCTACTCTCACGATAAGTGATGGAACCAGCTGAGAAGCGCCCCGGTCAATGCTGTGCCTCGCGCGCCAAAGAAATTAAATTGCAGGGCATGCGTGTATCATATGAGTAGCGCACGGCAAATTCTCGACGCGCTTAAAAAGTACCCACCAAAGGTTCTTTTAAACAGACGAGTTTGTGTGGCCTTTGAAATTATGGGATTGTGTACTAGTAAGTATGGCCCAGGATCAACTTTCTAGATTCAAGGGCTCCAATTCGAGGGCAAAGCAGACAAAATGCTATTAAAAAATTTCCGAGGAGCCTCCAAGAGTGGAGGGATGTCATTTTAAAAATGGCTGCTGACAGACTTGGAAACGTTCACTTTTTTTTGGGGGGGGGTTGAGTTGCCCGCAATGGGTCTCCGAACTTTGTTGATTTTACACTGTTTTCAATGGGGCTTGAATTAGTGCTGTTGTAAGGAGCACACACTGCATAATTCATTATCACGCTAAATAATGACGTACAAATTATACATAAGCGTACCTTCCTCCAGTTGTGATACTGCCAGTACCTTACAATAACAACACACTTACTCGACTTAAATAAAAGCTATTCCTGGAGGATTTCATCCCAAGCGAAGTTAAGTCCGACATATTAACAGGGGAAGCTTCCACAAGGCGTTAAGACTGATCTTTTTTCGAGACTGACAATAAAAAATTTCCCAACGGGAAACTATATTTATGGTGCTCCCCAGACAGTTGTTTATTAATATAAAAAAGAAAGAAATGTGCTGCTGGGCTGCATTCTGTCCCTCTTTCGACGGAACTGACCCCTCTTGTTACAACATGGAGTAGTCCAATTGTCTGTATTTGCATATTATCTGTTAACTGCGGCCGAGCCGTGTGGCGAGAAAAAAGGTCACAATATCCCAGGGCGACTTCAACTTCCCGCTTCCACGGTTTTATGTTCCATTCACGCTCCATGAGCACACATGAACCAGGATTGCAACTGTACCATCATCGTAGCGTTGCTCCAGGCTTGTGTGTTCCCAGTCATTTGGTTGACGAATTAGCCTTCTCTGCGCTGAAAAAAAGTATGTTTCTATTCGTATGTTGCTGAAAACTGATGATAGAGCTGCCGACTAACATCATGGAGATGATCCAAGTGCTGTTATTTTTCACAGGGTTGCTTGTCATCGTTTTCGGCGCGGTACCAGAACTACAAATAACCCAAACGGTAGGTGCTGGTGCTACGAGGATTATTTTTTATTTTATGAACAAGGTTAAAGGTCATATTTATACCGGCCATGTATGCATTCTTTGAGAAAGCATCCGTTATGCCAAATATTTTGCAGACGTATCGACATCAGTATTGAAATTTCGAATGAGCCCCCTCATTCTTCAGCCTACGTACTCAGGCTTTTTTTCCGTCAAAAATTAGCCGGATTATTGGCCAACGGCCAGCAAAACCACTGCAGGTTGTCATTCGAATAGATTTGGCATGAAGAAAACATGGACAAGCTGTATGCATTTTATACGCCTTGTATGAAAGCACCATTTGGTATATACCCCCCCCGGATACTAGTTGTGTTGCACCACTTTGAGCTCGTTGCAGGATGTTCCGTCTAGACGGCGAGAAGTTTAGATAGAAAGTACTTCATGATGTAGTGTCTTCCATAATGTTGCAGTGCTGAAACGTGGTTTGGAAAGTGGAGCTGTAATCTACATTCTCGCGTCACCTATTCCTGGGCATTAGCATGTCTTAACATCTTACTGTAATTGGGTTTCACACAATCAAAGTCGGGCACATATCAATCAGGCACTCTGCAACTTACAACCGCAACATGTGCAAAGTGGTTTGTTTTATTTCAGAGACTTGAAATAAAATAAATGTCTTGCTCAACTATTCTTTGAGATTATTAATTTATGATGTATGCATACTTTTTGAATTAAAAGATACCGCCAAAGCCCTTTTAAGTATTTGCATATGTATTGTGATTAGCCCACAGCCATTTTTTCGAACACTTCTGGAACATTTTTCGAATAAAGCTGTGCGATCACCAAGCCCAGGGTAAAAAGACCACTCATTTGCAGGTTGTTATCATGACAATAACAATCACCATACGGCGGTATATTATGCTCGAAATAATAATGGCGCGTAAGGTTTTAGAATTATATTGCGTGGTCTACATATGGTATCTTGTCATGTGTTCATGTGACAAAGGATATTTTATAACGGCGTGTTATTCACTATACATTTCGCCATATCAATAACATAAGCTGCACTGGCTTGTAGTCCTGCATCATTTCCAATTGTCTCTAAATATGTAATTTAACTCACTGCGCTTAATATTTCATTCTACGTAGTCGTTGATAGTTTTCGTTCTAACGACGCACCTATTGCAAGGTAACTTTCATGATTCCATGCGACAGTCAGCCTGAGGAAAGCAGTTTTTGATTCTGTTTGCTCAAACTGTAATATTTATACCGTCGTTTATGTGCGTAAATCTATGCCATATTGAAAACTATGTCGTATTGAAGCCTAGATGACTGACCACCGTTATCAGATCAGACGTGTTGGCAGTTGAATGACTAGAGCTAAGTGATTTAATTTCATGTAGCATCTGTGACAATATAACTGTATTCACCACTGAAGCTCTACCGTGACTTTTGGCTTTTTGTGTTGTTTTTCCACACCCAATTCATCGACTAGGTTGCTATACTGTCTTCCGCTTTTCTTCCGTGTTCAGGTTTCTTAGTATCTAGATAACATCTTTTTTCCTCTGCTGGAGGCCTGGAATTCATGACGTATGGTGCGTTTATAATCAAATTTGGAATTAAAGAAATTACACAGAAAAACATCGAGCGATGTCGATGACATTGATCTCTGTCGGTGGAGCGGACCATAGTAAATTCTCGGGGGAAGCATGCCACAATTAGTTTATTCTGTCGTAACAAAAACATGCCTCAAACATCGACTCGAGCCAGACGAGTTAAGGTAGTGTACCGGGGAAACATGGACTTGTAATTTCCAGCTCATGATACTGACATATAATTAATTATATAATTAAATCAAATCGGAATAATCCTCAGTGGTCGAATTGAACTCAGTCTGTGTGAAACACTCATGAGTTTAACTTACCTGTGAGCTGCAGAATTATTCCTTATTCTAAGAAAAAGAAAATCCATAGTTCGGGAAACCCAGCCTCTTAAATTGACATTCCGTAGTCAATGACATGAAAGCTGCAAATAGATATATACTAACGACTTGAATCAAGCCCACGTCCAGACAAATAACTAGAAGCAAATCCAAAGAGGGCAACAATTCTATGCTCAGAAAACCTCAGGGAGATCCGAAGTGCAATCAATCACCACACAGACGGCTTTGAAAGAACCACCAGAATCATTCAAGAAACTCAGAAGAGCAAAAAGCAGCGGCCTCGTGGAATTATTACAGGCTATCCCCTGGCATTTCAGTGACTTCAGTTTTATCTTTTGCATCTATGATTATTTTCCTGTCTGCTCTCTATTCAGCGGCAAGCAAACACAGCAAGTCCCAAGGCTGTTTTTGAAATTCGTTTCTGTCGACGATTATTATTACTTTCTCCTATATCTATAGGCGATGCACCAAGCGTGTCAAGTCATCTGTGGGTCACAACGTGCCCTCTTTTTCGGCTCTGTAGGCCGAATTTGAATGAACGTTTGACAGGAGTTATTTTGTTGCAGACTTCTGTTTAGAAACTCTCCCGTTTTGGGTGCTCGACTTGCTCATGCTTGACATGCATCATAATAGTACATTGTTGAACACTAGCGCAGCTGTACAAGAAGTGTGACCACGTTAGTTTGTACCAGCTGGCATACATAAATTTACCCGACTTGTATTTCGTACATTGTACTGGCAACTTGGAGCCCTCATGTAATAGCATGATCTAAATGGCCCTAAAAAACCCATCCAGTACAACTGAAATAAATTACTCTCTTGGGACAACCAACTAATCAGTTTGTTTGGAGTAATTTTGACGTCATCTCTTAGTCAACTAGTCATAGTTGAGCCGAAGTCAGTCCCCAGAATACAAAAATCCATCATATCACACATTTTATATTTCTTGTGAAGGTTACCTTTCAGCATTATGAAATTCAAACTAAGTGATTCATTGCTGCAATGCACATTTTGCCATCTCACCTGGGGAAAAAACAAAACGGGAAGGCACTTTGAAATGCTAAAGGTACAGCTAACAGCCGAAGAAATATGTACATGTAAATAAACCTATTGTTGTCAATATTAAGAATTAGTCATTAATGGTAAAAAAGAAAAAATATACTTTTGTGTTCAATTAACTTAAGTGGGCTTGATGTCATTTGCCAAAGTCAGTGTTTAATTGCATTTCGAGTAGTTTTGCACAGGTGCCTTGAACAGAAAATACTCTCACCACCTGCACTGTGGACTGCGACATCCTTTTAAAATTAAGTATACACTACAGCATTTTGGTATACGAGGGTTGGCCTTGGACTGGTACTGGAGCTGTGTGTCAAATTGAAGGCAGTTTTGTATGTAATTCTAACCCATCTTTGAACAAGTCCATCATTAAATCTATGGAGTGCCTCAAAGTTGAACTTGTTCAAGTGAGTAGATGACTTGTTTCAGATAAATTATTAATGAAATCGCTTAAGACTAATCATATCTTTTTGTTGAATGTAAATACACGGCCACAATTTCATTTCCAAATGCGACAAAAGTCCGTTGATTCGGCAAATAAGGAATTCTAAGGTCCGCTGCACTCTAAGGACCCAACAGACAATTATATAGGCAAAAATGATGAAGTAAAAATACTCTTGTTTTCTCTCCGCCTTATCTTGACAACCTCTCATTTCTTGGATTTTTGATTGGAAAGATTTGTCTTGCCTTTAATCCGAGTCAACATTTCTATATTTGTGAGTGCATTGATCATGCTGCTAAATCTACCCATAATGCCTCGCAACTCCTTCACAAAACATTTTTATAAACGAGATCGGAAATGCGTTAGCACCCTTTGATGCATGGAGGTACTGGGCAATGCTGGCTGTAAAGATCGTTCTGAAACGTCCCCAGAATAAAAGGTTAGACAAGAATTAGATCGAATCGTGGCCTTTACCTCAGCCAGCAGAGTACATCGCGATTATTAAGACCTACTCTCGCTCGCGCGCAGTGCATCCAATTAAATGTGGACAGCAAGCGGTAGAATTCCGGAAAAACGGATACCTGCTCCCGTCGCCAAGGTCAAACAATATCTCAATTTAGCGGGTTCATCTAAAATTAATTTTTACGAGGGGACAATAATCGAAACAAGGGCAAGCGTGTACTTGCAGTAACAGTATAATAATTGCTAAGCCTACCCGTATTTTCTATCACAAATACAAAAACTACGTATGTTACTTTCGTTATTTATTGTAATGTAAATGTGTTTTTGAATATTTTTCTGTATTTTGTATTGATGTAAATTGTGCAAAATCCACATCGATTGCTAAGAGAGATTTAGTGTAAATTGAATGAAACCATAATTTCGTGGTGTTGTAATGGACAACCTTTAAGCTTAAGTTTCCTAAACAAAGGGAAATGGTAATTTAATGTATAGAATACAAACGTGGCAATTGGGACCTTTGAAAACAAGGCACCAAACGAGTGTCTGACGGAGACGTTTAACGGCCTCAGCAAAAAACTTTAATATTTTGTAGTCTAAAACAGTCAAAGAGATCGAAATATTTTCTCCAAGGTTGTTGTTAACAATGTCAAAATTTGATAAAATGTTCCATTTCACGGTACCTCACGGTCCCCTGTATCTATGCAAAACCTGTGCTTCTGCATCAGCCACACCAGCCGCATCTAAATTACCCTCAACCACCGATTCAGGAGCAGTTTATCGATTGAAAATGGACCCCAGGCGGGTCAGAGTTTACATCTGTGATTGGATCAATGCGATGACACCAGGGCACCTTTCGATATGCCAGAGAAAACCAGGGGCTTGTGAGGAATGCACGGTAGTAGGGCACTTGATTAGATTGTTTCTGTTACATTAGTAGAGGTTATGCGTTAACGCGTCCTCAGAAGACAAGAGTTTTGTATCACTGGGATAGGCTCGAGTAAATCTCTTGTGCATTCATTGTAAGTAAATTGAAATGACAAAAACAGCCTCTGAGACACTATGGATATGCTAGCAACTCATAGCCTCCATCCCACGTTCGGTTTCACTTTCGAATTCTGCGATTTCGCTTCCGTTAGATTTGTTGTCCAATTTTAAAAGAACGGCTCCCGTATCTGTCAAACTAATTCCAGTTCAGTATGGAGAGAGAGAGAGACTAAGTTCATAAGTCTTCCTATTAGGGAGTAGAAGTTATTCCTGAAAGTGGAAATTATTTCCTAATAGCAAAGACATAAATTTAACCTGGATCGAAGCCCTTTCCGTCCTGTACTCACACATACACAAATGCAAAGAGCAATGGACATATAAATCCCCTTCAGCCGTCAGCTTAACTGCTTTCTCAGCCTTTTTTTTCATTTATGTATCTATACTAACATTATGCCATTTTGTAGGGGTTACGGTAAGTTATTTCAGGACGAAAATTACCTCCTACACCAGTGCATGCTGAAAATGTATCCAATTGGCCTGTGCCGAAATGAGGCACTGCAAGGAAGGAAAAAACAACCACAACAATAACGACGACGACAAAACGAACAAAAAGACATCAAATACGAAAGTTTCGGTTCCTCTTAATTTGAGCGGGTAAAAGTGTGCATGGATTGCTGGTAATTAAACAGATCCAATATCTGTAATAACGCTCATCAGGCTCATAACCGGAAGGAAATGGAAATAAAATTATGTCACACTTGACCACCTGGTCTCAGCACCCCAATTCAACAAAACTTCATGAATAATCAGACGGAAACCCTGATACTTTGCACACCCCATCTTATATAACCAGACACCTGCAGGTGCATTATGGGTGCAGACCACTAATTCAAGTGAGAATTTCTGGCCAGCTCATTAGCATTAAAAGTGCCCCCACAGTATCTTTTGAGAAAGGAGATGGTTTAGCCCCCAAAATGGTGAGATTGTGTAAATCGTTGCTGGAATTAACTCCCTGGGTCTTTGAGCTTTCATATGAGAGCAAAATGGCTAAAAACTACGGTTGAAAAATGGTCCTAAGTGCCCAAAAAAGTTGAGGGTTGCCACTTGAAAAATGGCTGCAATCAGACTTTGGAAAAATCACTTATGGGGGGTGATTTTGTTTTGTACGAATAATAAAAATGTAAT